TTTGTACTGATTTACTCCTTCTCTAGAAGTATAGAAAGGTATTATTATTTACCCAATAGTTCCTATGTGCTAATTCTGATTAATGAATGTTTTCTGGTACTAAAGATATGATTTAATGATTCAATAACTCTCAAATTTCTTTTACTTTCTAATATTCACTGTATAAATTTTTTAACAAGCAAATTTTCAAAGTAAAGTGTTTTTATGGTATGTGAAAACTAAAGTACTAACAACCTGTAAAGAGGCTTCCTGCTCTACGACCTCACACAAACCAAATTATCCATCAACATCTTAGCTTTTTCTACAAAATGTGAGACATACTCTTGATATCCCACTACAGTCTCAGTGAAAGGTCTGGCAGGCCAGCCAGAGAGCTCAGCAGACTAAAGCACCTGTGTAGGCAGACACAGGGACCAGGGTTTGATCTCTAGGCTGCTGTGCCACCTCCCTCCCCGGGGCCCTGTTGAGATGGCAAATGAGACTGGGCAGGGTGGCACGTCTGTAATCCCAGTGCTTAGGAGGCTGAAAACAGGAGGATCACTATGAGTCTGATCTGTGTAGTGAGACCCTGTAGTAAAAATACATTAAAAAATTAAAAATAAAGGGTTTGGATTTTATCAGATAAAAACATTTAAAAATTAAACCATGATATTTCACAAATTTTGACTTGGCATTAGATTTTAGAGCTGACATTACACTTGTCCCATGACTATTCCCATGTCATCCATACCCACTCACAACTGTTTCTAACATCCACAAAAACTATTTCAACAACACTCTCAATTGGTTTGATACTATGATTACTTTCAGTAATCACAAAGCCATATCCAAAAATATTAATTAGCAACTGTATTTGTATTTTTAAATATATACTGAGAGGGTGTTATTCTAACAAAATTTTATTTACTAATTGGAAGTACAATGTGTTATAAGTCTGAAAATAAATAACTTAGAATCATTTCAACAGTGTAGCGTCTGTAATTGTAAGAAAAAAATAACTTTCTCCTACTCAGTAGGCCTGGTTTGGAACAGCTGCTTATGTCAGTCATTGTTATTAATCTCCTATTTTACTCTTTATTTTCCTGGACAATGAATACTGGTACTGTTGATTTTGATAAGACCCTTTATTTTATTTATGTATTGATTTATTTTTGTCTTTTGAGACAAGCCCTTGCTTCAGGCCTCCCTTGAGCTTACTTTGTAGCCCTAGGCTGGTCCCGAACTTGCAATGATTCTCTTGACTCAGCCTCGCAAGTGTTGTAATTACAGGTGAGTGGCACCACACATGGCTATAAAGACTTATTAAAGATAAATTTATTATATACCAAGGACAGCTGTTTAAGTAAGCATTCAATTCCAACAGTTTTTGTCTTGATAATTTTATAGCAACAGCTAGGATAGAACTTCGTCATCAGTCACGACTTTCTGTTATGCTATCTTCTCTAATAAAAATATGCTCTTACAACACACAAAAATCTGCACTTTCCTTATATTTAGTAAATGTGACCCTCCATAAATGAACAACAAAAAGTTTTTGATTCTGCCTTATAGAGGAGGGGGAAAGTCCTTACAGAATTTCCATATATTATTAGTTAACATTGTCTCAATGCTATCTTTTGTCATGCTAGTAAATGAAATAAGAAAATAAAGCTTATTCACTAGTATGGGGAGTTGACCATTAGACAAAGAAAAATGTATTTACCTTGAAAATGCAATGTTTAGAAAGCATAAAAGTAACTAACTATATACATTTCTATCTCAAAAATTTGAAAGGTAATTTTATCCTTCCCATCCTTAACACACACACACACACACACACACACACACACACACACCATAAGATAAAAGGGGCACAAAATTCAAGACTTAATCTCTGCTTCAGGCTAATGACAAAAAATATTTTTCATTTTTAGTTCACATCCTGAAAGAAATTCTCTTGACAGAAAATGTTCTGAACTAGACTCTAAGAGGCATGTGTATTAGGTTCACTTAAGCTTTTCAGGATGACAAAGGAGAGAAGATGGGTCAAAAACAAGAGAGTTCAGTTAAAATAGATCAGCTTCAGCTTTTAAAATACTTTTTAATATACTGAACAACTTCAAGTTCAAACTATATATGTTTGAAAGACAAAACACTTTACCCTAATATACCGAGGATTAAAATTGTCTCATATTTATTTCTAATCATGTCACTGAACTGCTACTGTTTTCTGGACTGCAAAGAAATGATTTATTCATCATAGTGTGACATAGTTATGTATGATTGATCGGTATGAAATAGAAAGGGACTTTGTCCTCAGTGAAACTTAGAACAGGGCCTGACCAGTGTGTGTTGTCTGTCTTAGCAGCTAAATTACTTCTTGCCCATCTGGTAAGATTCAATAGATTTTTCACAACATAATTCACAGCATAATTACCACTCTATAATACATTATCAATGCCAATTGACTCTGCTTCCTAGATTCAAATTTATTATAATACAATGACTTCAAACTTATGCTAGACTTTCTGCATCTCACCATGGTTATTCAAGTTGTAAAAGAAAAATAGGCAGCAAGGAAGATCTCTGTTTAATTTGTTTCTTTTATGGAAGAAAACAGTACTCTTGACAAAACAAAGTATAGAAAGCCTCCTGTCATACATACCTTAAAGCTTTCCCTTCTCTTTGTCTTTTCCTCCCATTTCAGGAAGAAAGAAATTTTTAGTTCAGTGGTCATGTTCCACATCCTATAATTTTGTTGCTGTTTTTCTCCTAGTCAAATGGCTCCATTAATCAGCAGTGGGGAAAAACAGGCAGCAAACTATCTATATAATCCAATATTATCCCCAATGGAGAGATAAAAATTAGAAAGTTGCTTCTAAAAGAACTTTGGTTTCATTAAACAACTATGGTGGCATGCCAGGAATCCCAGGGCAGTATTAGTATTACTTTGGGTTAGATTTCACTTTGGCTGTAACTAAGTATGTGATAAATTCAAAGAATGTATGTAAAGAATGTGCATTCATTTAAAAATTGCCTTACTTCCGGAGTGATTAAATTTAGTCTGAAACGTATTTTTATCCAGAAAATTGCAGTTAATGTTCCTAAGACTTTTATGACTTACACATTCTTCTTTTTAAAAAAAATCCTAAAAGCAGACCTTATACACTGCTGGTATTCTACATTAATAAAACAGTTTGGCTTTGCACACTCTGATTTTTATTGACTGCTGTATTTCTTTTTCTTTAGAGAGCTTGTTCCTTTGATTAGATTGATTCAAATAGTCCTAGTTCTTTGCACTGGTTTTACTTAGGTTGTGTTTTGTATTACTCTACCATGAAGTGTCAAAGTAATCATTCATTTGATTATATGAAAATTAATTTACAATCTTAAAATATGCACTTACAGCATTTTGAAATAATGAAAACACTGAACTCCTGGGTTTTCTTCTCAAATTAAGAATCTTGATCTTATTACTGAATATTCCATCTACATATTCTGTTTGGCACACATGTGAAAAAACAGTATCATCAGTAATAGTTTATCTTACATACATGTCCTTGTGTGTGAGTAGTACTAATAGGTGGTGATCTCTACTTCACATTAATATTTCAGTTACAAAACCAATAATGAAAAAGTTATTGGCAAGTGAAAATAGCCTAATGTGTAAATTCATTCTGCATGTCAATGAGTTACATATAATAATAAATATTCACAAGGCATAGAATATGGGTAGACAAGTAGACTCAAAAGAGAATTAAAGTTAAGACCAATCTCAACAATCATTTTCAACTCTATATTTGTATATAAAATAGATTGCAATTCACTGCGAGAATTTTTTTCTTCTTAAGCAAGAATAATTTATTATTCATTTAAATATTTTAGAAATAAAAATAAAACTCATTTCTGAAAAAAACAAATTTCTTCAACAGATGGCAATTGCTACACATCCCAAAGGAGAGTTTTACATTTGCTTAGTTTTTCAAAAATAAGGATGTAAAACAACATATTCATTAAAAAGCCGTGACAAAATAAGACTTGTTCTGAAACTAGAACTAAAAATTGTACCTTTTAACCTCAGTGGATCTTAAGTCAGCTGTGAACATTTAGTATTTAACATTTAACTAATGAAACCCCAGTCAAAAAATCAGGATTCTAACATCAATACTTTCTATTTCAAAAATCGTAACTGCTGTTCCCTTTCTTTACCTAACTAACCTAACATAGTCTTGTTGAACAGTTTCAGTACAATTAGGTGCTAGTGAAAATATATCTTTCTACCTAGTAAGGAGTACTAACAAGGAAACAAGAAGCAATGCTGGAAATCTGGTGGCAATACTGTTTGATCTAACCATAAGTACAGTTTTTAAGTGCAATTCTTCATGCCACCTGCAAAAATGAATCCTCATGCCCAGAAGGAGATTATCTACCTCTCCTAATAGATAATGTGTTTTAACTCTAACCAATACTACTAGCGTTAGGAAGGAAACTGTCAGGTGCAAATTGCTAGAAAGAAACTACAGATGCCCCAGACTTTCACTCCAAAGAACACAGAGAAAATGGAGAAAACTGGGTCTGGCAGATGAAAGGCCTCAGAGATGTCAACAAACATCTTATGATGAGAGGAGGATTAAAATGAAGAAATAATTTTTATAGAAGAAAATGTTAACAAATAAATGAGTCAATAACCTCAGCATTTCTTCCTATGTGTGTCTGACTAAGCCTGAAGCAAGCTACAATAAGGTATGAAAAAGATAAGGAAGATCAGCCTAAGAGTCAGGGGAACAGAAGACTGGGAAAGCTGTATTTACTTCACTTTCCTCTCCACTTAGAAACAAAACCATGGCACATACAACTTTTCAAAGTATAGTGAGCAAGGCAAAAAATTATTATTATTTTTATTTGCCAATAAACTAATTGCAGTTGTCAACAACTCTGAATATTCTGAAGCTCATGTTTTCAAGACTCTGGTGTAATGGGTATCATTCATATATCTATCCATCACAATTTGATTCTAAGATGCTTTGATCAAGTCTCAGATGGATCATTAATTTTTGAAAAGTTGTTTTTCTGAAGATCTTTCTGTGCCAATGTCTGAAAAATGAATATATAAATATATAATAAGTGTTCATAGGAAAATGAATATTTCTGTGGTGCTACGGATAGAACCAACGGTTGTGTACATTCTAGGCAAACATGCTACACACTACAATTAAACTACATCTCTGATCCAAATTAAATTCTTAATAAAGGAATTATATAAAATTTATCTAAATTTAGCACAGCAATTATTCTGACATTTCTGAGTTATGTTTAAGATTTTATTTCATGTTTATATTTTATACAAAATATAACTCTAAAAAAGCCTTAATTGGAATGTTTTTTGAACAAGAAAATGTCTATAGAAAATGCATATAAAATAAAATGTAATACATTAAACTAAAACTGTGCTTTAACATACTCGGAATCTATGTATGTCTTGTATTAAAAGAGCATGGCAAATATTAAGTTAATTTTATAAACAATGAAAGTAAGTAGTAATTTGAAATATCCCATGCACTCTGAAAATGTTTCTAATGATTGAATCTAAATTTTCCAAGATCATAAAAGTTTCAGCATCAACTATAATAAAAGTTTAATTTATCTCTATCAAAAAAAATATTTTAAGCATCATCATACTAAAACACAATGCATTAATCCTCTAGTAACAGAACAGTTTTGGTTAAGGACATTTTGTAAGGTCAGGTTTGAATTTTTAAAACTTAGTTTGGAATTGTTAATATTCCCTCTTAGTACTTGCTTTATGTAGCATCTGACTCCCCAGGAACTCAAAACATTTCATAGATTTATACCCTGACTTTAGTTTTAGTCATTGATGCTTTTTGTTTTTACAGAGGAGCAAAGCATTCATTGAAGAATATAATTTAGTAAATCTATCCTAACCAGAAGACAAAATAATGCTAAACAGAAGTTAAACAATCAGTGAAAGCTTACCATCTCCAAAAATTCTATTTCTGTTTGGAGAGTTTCATAAACGCTTTCCATGTCATCTTCTTTATAAAGTTCTAATTCTTTCTTAAGTCTGTTTTAAATGAAAATTTTATACTATTAGTTTAACAATTAACTTTTATAATAATTTTTATTACATAGAGAGATGCAGGCTTGCAACTTAAAAAATCAGAATTTCAAGTTCAAATTGAAAAGTTTAGAATTTCAATTCTCTATTATTCTATAAGGATTACATGAAAATTTAAGGGGAAAAGTCTCATAGGGACAATAAACAATAAGAGATAGTTAATAATTTTGTGATAATTCTAGTTTAATAGGTAATACAATTCTTTCTCTAAAGACTTCTGAGTTAATCTTGGTCACAAACAAGCTAAATAAGCTTGGTGAAATCATTTAGCAGCTCCAGAATGTCACCCGGTTAAAAAATACCTCTGATATTTCTTCTCGCTTTAAAATTAAAAGTAAACTTTATAATTTACATACATAATTAAATTATATTCTTAAATTTTAGAGGTAAAATTTAACATTGATCTTTCTTTTCTTCAATTAAATAATCTCTTATACACTTGGAATTTTAAAAAGTTCTGCTTGTATTTAACGTGGGTAATAGTGAAGAAACTTATTTTCCTTTTCTAGCATGATGACTAACATTTCTTAAAAATGAAAACATAATTAAATGCCATGAGCTGTGACTGCGAAGGCAGACAGCTAGGATCTGAAACTGGATAGGCAGATAGGAGTGTGGAGCAGTCCTAAGGGCAGACACTATAAGCAGCAATACTCTCACAAACCTGAACAAGTCTTAGGCTAGCAACATCATGGAAAATACGGATCAAATTGGACTAACCTCTGCTGAGCCATGACCATCAAGAAAAATAGGAAAAAGCAAAAGTAATTCATAGGAAAGGTCCTGGCTTAGACCGCCAGATAGCAAAAAGGAGCAGGAAGAGGAAAAGAAAGGAAGAAGAGTGAGAAAGAGGTAAGAAAAAAAAAAAAAGAAAGAAAGAGGAAGAGGAAAATAAACAGGAAAGAAAAGGGAGGATGAGAAGAAAGAGGAGAGGGAATTGGAAAAGGGGAAGATATATTAGGTAGTAGTACTGCATCAGTGTGAATTTTCTTGAGTAGTGCTGTAGTAGAGTATCATCCTACGGGAGATACTTGGGGGTTGGGGACATGGCTCAGTGGAATAATTGCTTCCCTGGCAAGTGCAAGGGCCTGAGTTCAATCCCCAGTTCCGGAAAAAAAAAAAAAAAACCCAAAACCAAAAAACAGATAATATGTGGCAAAATATTTAAGGATGAAGTGCAATTAGCCCATCCAAAAATGATGCAACAAGATAAGATAGATGGTACCTAAATAGGTTAGATAGTTAGCTACACAGACACACAGATAGTGGATTACAGACATTCCTATTAAAACTTGAGGATACAAAGATAAAATGTACCCTTTCTTCCAAATGAGAAAATGCAGTGAACAAGTTTATGCCAATAATTTGAACACTCAGATAAAAGGGAAACATTTGCAAAAAATGATGGTCCAAATTTATTCTAAAAGAACTAAAGACACTATAAACTTAAGGAAAATCAAATAAGTGGTCTAAAATTCATACAGAGAAAACAGTAGGCCCATGTAGATTTAGAAGTAAGTTTTTAAAATATCAACTGTGCAGGAATGAGATCATTTAAATTTTATACAAAATTTTCCAGAATATTGAAAAAGAAATAATAATTCTGTATTCCTTTATATAGTGTATTCAATCTCAATATGTTACAACAATGCCAAGGGAAAAGTCAATTTCACTCATAAATGTAAGCTTCAAATTTTAAAATATCAGCAAAACGGCAATAAATTACAAAATCATGATTAAGTTGACTTATTCTGGGAATATGATAATAGCTAAATGTTTATTTACAAAGGCATTTACTGTACTAACAGAATAAAGAAAGAAAATATATTCTGTCTCAACATATGCAGAAAAAAATCACTTGATAAAATCAAACACCCATTCATGACTTAAAAGAAACCCCTAAATTCTTCAACAAATATATTATAAATTTGGAAAATTCAAGATAGATTCTAAATTAAAATAGATTTAAAAGGCACAACCAACTATAGATGTAGATATTATCTGGAACCTAAATCAAACAAACTGAAAAACAAACATTTTTGGATAACTGGAAAGTTGAACAGTGACTAGTGATTTCATAATATCAGTTAATTACTACTAATTTTTGTGTGATAATGGATTCTTGTTACTTTTTTTAAAAGAAGATATTTAACAGGATGTCTATGATCCAGTTCAAAGTAATACGTGAAAAAGGTGAGCAAAGATACAGATTAAACAAGATTGGTTAAAACTGGTAATTGTTAGAGTGGTAGTTACATTTGGCACAGTATATTCTTCTTTATAAATGTTTTTAAATATTTATGTTCCTTTTTTATAGCTGAGTAATTGCATACTCCATTGTATAAAAATACCACATCTTTTTTAATCTATTCCTCAGTTGATGGGAATTTGGGTTGTTTCTAAGATTTAGCTATGACAAATTGCATTGCTATAAACATGGGGCACATATATTGCTTTGGTATGTTGTCTCCCTAGTATAAGAACCTGAAAGACTAAATAAAATCCAAAAGATACAATAAATACTGTGAAAGGGAAAGAAACTGCTCAAAGGAAAGAAGCTATTGGGATGAAGGAAAGGAGAAAAGAAAGAAAGAAGGGGGAAAAAAAATACATGTTTACAATAGGATAGCTAAGATAATTGTACTGCTGATTTCTACTCTAAAGGAGGTATTAATATTTACTTTTTTCTTCTTTTTAATATTTTTAACCAATTTTGCATGCTTATATCTGGTAGTCTGAAAAAATTATGTGAAGACAGTAATATGCAATATACCCGGTACCTCATGCTGTGCCGACCCTGCCCTTGGGTGCACAGAGCTAGTGACCCAGTGAGGGTAGCTGAAAACAGGAGGATCACTATGAGTCCCAAGTACATAGTAGAACCCTATTCCAAATACATAAAATTAAAAAAAAATATGACAACAATTGTTGAATTTCTATAATCTTGTTTCGGATTCTGTATGCCTTCTAATGTTTTATTTTTTTATTCTCTTTAAAATAATTTTAAAAATAACTGCCAAAATAATATGGCAATTATTATATATATAATATATATATATATCTTCCAAATACACAGAATTTAGCTTGTCTTATACATTTCCATGTACAAGCAATAAAAAGTTAGACTATATAATTTTTTAAAGTACCATTTATAACAGAACCTGAAACTACAGGCAACCTAAAAATGAAAATTATCAATTTGACAAATTTATCAAATTTATAAAAACATAGTATTTATAAAGATAATGGATAAGGAAATAATAAATCTATATATGGGAAGTTCATTGTGTCTGAACTTTTAAGAATAGTAAACTGGGAAGAATTCTGGAAGACTCTGGGCAGCCTGCGGGACTCTGGTGAGCTCTGACCTCTCTTAGTCCCAGTGTAAGGGCATGGAGCTTCTGCTGCTTCTGCTAACTTTAAAGAACTTAGGTGGAGTCTGAGTGGCCTGTGGGACACAGGAGAGCTGCAATCTGTGGGCCCAGCGCATGCAGACAGGGAACTTTCCTGGAAGAGTTTAAGAACTGGGGTAGGCTCTGGGCAGCCTGCAGGACTCTGAATGATTACTGGGTGTTTAAAAATGCCAGAAAACAGGAGCAAAAGACAATCTCAATCCTCTAGCCCACACAGAACAAATCCAGGAGACAATGATATACAAGAACTCAGAAATTACACATCTGAAATCTCTGAAATGATAGGAAATAAAGTAAAGACACAAGTCCCTCAGGCTATAGAAGAAATAAGATCAGAAATAATCTCTCTTGTCCCAAAACAAAGGACAACAACCATGAAAGAACTACTTAGCACAGCTAAAGAAGGCATAGATAGAAAAACAGAAGAGAAGAGAAAAATGATGGAAAAAGTAAATGAACAATACAGAAAGGAATGAGAATGCATGAAACAGATTCAAACAGATATCCAAGAAATTAAGAACTATTATGAAATCTGGCAAACCTGGGTGAATGAGACTGAAGACAGACTTTCAGACCTCAAAGACCGTGTTGCAGCTAATGAACATGAAATAAAACATCTCTTAAAAATAACAAAAAAACGGGAAATAACAATTCAGCTGCTATAAGACAATAAAATAAAAATAATGTCAGAATAATAGGTGTCAATGAAGCAGCAGGAGACAGCACAAATGACATAAAAGACTATTTACAAAAGTATTAGCAGAAAATTTTCCAAAAAGAACCTGACATATCGCTAAGTGAGGCATATAGAACTCCACACAGCCAAAATCGCAATAAATCTATACCTAGATACATAATAATCAATGTCTCAGAAATTCAGCAGAATAAAATATTAAAAGCTGCTAGAGAGAAGAAACAGATCACCTACAATGGAAAGTCCATCAGAATTTTGGCAGATTTCTTAACACAAACCATCAAATCAAGAAGAGTTTGGGGCCAGCTAGATAACTAAGTAGACTAAAGAAACTGCTTAGGCAGAGCGCAGTGGCTGGGGTTCGATCCCCTGTGTGCCATGCTAGGCCCTCCCCCGGGGCAAGTTGAGACCGAGATTGAATGGTGGTGCATGCCTGTAATCCCAGTGCTCGGGACGCTGAAAACAGGAGGATCACTGTACATCCGATTTACGTAGTGAAAACCTGTGGAGGTAGAGGTGGAGGAGGAGGAGGAGAAGGAGGAGGAGGAG